CAGATGTAACGCTTTTGAAATGTGAAATGGGTGATTGAAAACCGAAAGGGCACTAAAAAAACATACTGGAGTGTGCGTGTTATTATGCAAATATTAACCTTACGTAACATTTTTCCAGAGGTGTTAATTTCTATTAAAAAAAAACATAGCCCTCTCGGTAGATGCAGCAATGGCTGAGGGAAGATAATAGTAAAAATTGAGAGGGCGTATCAATTGAAGGTAATCCTGTAACCTGGCTACCTGTGGTTTCAGAATTGCAATGTGTACATATTTTGAAAGCCATAACATTAGTGATGTGCCTCAAAGTTAGAGGTATTGTATTGTGTTTGAAGTGGTAGCTGATTAATGCAGAAAGTGTGCACTCGAGGAGAGCATATTGCTGGCTTGCTCATCATCCAAACTGCAATGTTTTACATTTTAAATGTTTGCACCCAGCTGGTCAATGTTGAATACTGCATTCACCCACCCATCCTCGCTCCCAGCTCAACCGCACTCCCACACGCAGTATTAATATTAGTAATAATATAATAATAATAAGTGAATACACTAACTTGGAGTTTTTTTTTAAGCTGCAGGCCAAATAAAACTCTATGCTCATCCACTGTATGTGGAGTTTGAAGTTTTGTGCAAAGCTTTCAGTGGGTACAAATTCCTAAAACACCCATGAGATGAAATTGTCAAAAAGAGAAAAAATCTGGAAAATCAGAAACTTGATGTCTACTGATTCAAGTAATAACAATAATAATAATTCTTGAATTTGATATAGCGCCTGATCACGTCTTCACAGGATATACTTGAATCCACGACTGTTTGTGGGGACGCTGCTGTGTGCAATTGTCTGCTCTGTGTTTCGTCCACAAAATATACAGTAAGTTCACTTTACAGCAAATGCTGTGAAGTGCTTTGAGATGCCTCGAAGACGTGATAAGGCGCTGTGTCAAAACACAAGGATTATTATTATTATTTTATAATGTGAAGTGAAGTGACTGTAATTTGTGAGCGATATGATTTCAAGGAAAGCTCCAAATTCAACTAAAACGCAGATCCACAAGTGTCAGCTCCAACTAACTGAGAGACTATCGATTAATGAGAAGTATGGTGAAAAAAATACTGTGATATCATGTCCTACACCAGGCAGAGAATGCTTCACGTGAACACGGCTAGATACCATACAGCAGTATTGTAAAGTCACCTTTCATGTACTATTGATTGTAATGAAGGAAGGAAGCCACGAGTCATGTGGCTATCTTACCGATCCTGAACGTGTGGGTGGCAGAATTAGCAGTCTGACCCACTCAGAGCTCCAGCGATCTGCTTGACCTGCATACCAAGTGCCTAAATATAAACAGGAAGGTCTAATGTACACCCTCCACTGAAACAGCTCTCATCCTGTTTTTTCTCTCTATCGTGGGATGGAGATATAACAAAACAGAAACATTTTGCCCACAGAATACACTGTCAATTCACTTTGCAATGTATCCTGTGAAGCGCTTTGAGACGCTTTGAGATGACGTGATAAGGCGCAAAATCAAATGCAAAGATTGTGACATATTTTACATGGGGAAAACACGTTCATGTTGAATATTTAAAGCAGGTCCTGTGGTCTTTGACACTTCACACAGAGATAATGAACACAGGCTCCCGAATGGCTCAGTGAGTGAGTGTGACACTGAACCATACAGATTAAGACAACAACAACTTGCATTTATTATAGCGCCCCTCACACAGGGCAGGTCCCAGAGACATGCCCATATCTGAACCCTGGCCTGTACAGTCTGTTACTTGCAGCAGATGAGGTCTCAATGGCCCTGGGCTAGGAACACAACAAAAATAAAATAACAATGTGGTCACTCAATCCACGGCTGTTTGTGGGGACGCTGCTGTGCGCAATTGGCTGCTGTGTTTCGCCCACAAAACCCACAGTCAATTCACTTTACAGTGTATCCTGTGAAGCGCTTTGAGACGTCTCGAAGACGTGATATCAAATGCAAGGATTATTATTGTTATTGTGTGTGAGACTCTGTCTGGTTTGAACACTCTTTAGTATTGGTGTTGGGTTTCCGCAGATGTCGACAGCTGGTGAACCCCCAAAACAAAGGCAAAAAGATACGGTATCCTTTAAGCCAAGACCACATAAATGACGGATTAGAGTGGAATTTGTTCTGAAGGGTACTCTTAGTGACGTCTTTACAAAGTTACACGGTAAACCTAATCTGTATTCTCAATGTTATCTTTTTTTCCCCCTAGTAATGTTTAATCTGTATTACTGGGAGAAGGTCTTACAATAATTTATTTTTTTAAAAAAAACCTCGAACAGCAGATAAGGGAGTCAAACCTATGTCTTTGTGGTTGGGTTTCAGGACCGTATTCAACGCTACCGGACGGATGGAAAATGACACTAGGTTTCAGCAGCCTCTCATCCAAGTGACCATGCTTCACGTGTGAGCTTATACAATAAACGCGGAGTCCTTGTAGCTCAGTGGTTGGAGCACTCGCCTCGCAAGTCCTTGCGAGAGGACCTGGGTTTGATTCCCGGGCAGGGTGGATTGTTGGGCAAGTTGTGAAAAATGTGATAAGGCGCCGTATCAAATGCAAGGATTATTATATTATTATCATTAGCAATCCCACTGCCCCACCCCATCCCCCTTTAAGCCTCGTGAACCGCTCTCGTAACCCTCGTTAAATGCATAATAGACTGTGTCTCCACCGGTTTAATTTGCAGGGCATTCCACGACCCAACTCTGTGTAGAAAAACATTCTCCTACACTCCCCTTTCACTTTTCTTGTGACTATATCTATAAGAATAATAGTAATATATTATTATTATCTATATATCCATGAACTCAAGTCATTGACTCCCAAACCAGTAAAACTAGTTTCTCTCCCAATCTTGTCAAAACCCCTCATAATGATGTACACCTGACAGGTGCCCTCTCTATCTTCGCTGTTCCAATGAAAACAGTAATCTCCGACCTCTCCTCATTGATGTGTAGACAACTATTAGCATATAGGCAGCTGGGGAGAGCCAGGCTTTGAGGGAGCTCTAAACTCTTCTTGAGAAAGAAGGTATGTACATGTTTTATTGGGTCACGATGTGGCAAAGAGGTTTATGTTAACTATTATCAAGTGTAGTGACTGTCCTCTAGAACCTCCAAGACCACTTTGGACAGGATGGCAGTGCTGATTTTTCTGTATGAATGTCCCACTGGGAATGTCCTTGTGGAAAAGAAGTGTAAGGCAATGGAAATATCCCCGATGCCAGGGCCCCAGAGGAGGGTGAGATGGGGGGGAGACAGTATCCACCCTGGCATCTTAGATCACTTAATGGAGGCGCTTTTGAAGGCTATTAGTTTCTCAGACCTTACAAAACTGGTCCTGTTGATTGACTATTTACAGTCGCGAAGGCAGAGCTGATCTGGATGGCTTCCTCAGCAAATCCCTGGATTTCACAGCCTCTTAATATCCAATTGATGGGGAAATAATCCCAACAGCGACATGTGCACATCCACACACACCGAGTGTGAGGCAGGAGCAGCACATGGGAGAGTGGCCCCACATACCACACAGCGACAGCGACTCTGCTCTGTTAGTTTATGATCTGATGCATACTTTACTGTGGGGGTGTGGGGAGGGGGTGTGGGTGTGGGGGGAGATTCCTACACATGGACACGTTAATAATTTATTCACCAGGCTTCAACCAGTCAGTCACTTAGCCTTCCCCGCATTGATTGACTTGTGTGGCATTTCCTTTCATTCACAAACCTTTTAAGCCCCGACTCCTTGTGTGTGTGTGTGTGTGTGGGGGGGGGGTGTATGGGGTGTTTGCGGGGGGGGGAACACAGAAGAGAAAGGGGGAACTGGTGAGTTAGGAGTGAGCTGAAGCTGTGATGGCTTATTATACCGCACAGTGGATGCTGTGTGAGTGTGAGAGATGGTTTGGCGTTGTTCAAGATGCTCTTCTCGTGGTGTCACTGTGAATCCTTTTGGTTTTCTTGTGCGGTATAAATCCCAGAGACTGAGAGAGAGAGAGAGAGTCTGTCTGTGTGTTTAAGAGTTTCTGAAATCCACTTGAAGTCTCCCCTTCTCCTCTATCTCTCCCCCCCTCCCCCCTCCCCACCGTCGGCTGAATAAGAGAGAGAGAGAGAATGATGATGAGCAACGACGCAACTAAATGAATTGGGATGTCCTCTCTCTCTCTCTCCCTCTCTCTCCCTCTCTCTCTGTGTCCAGTGTCTGATCATCATCTCAAGTGTAAAAGGTTTGTGAGTCGCTTTGAGCTCCAACCCCCCCCTCCCCCCCTCCCCATCCCCTGTTACCTGCTCTGGGGGAGTTTTACGCCAGGACTCTCTGTGTGTGGCTGCCCTGCCTGGGGGGGTGGGGGTGTGTGTGTGGGTGGGGGTGTGTCTGGGGGGGGGGGGGGGGAGAGGGATGAATGCTCCGAGGTGACCAGACGGATACAGAGGCATTGCCTGGTGTGGCTTCTCTCCCCACATCCCGTGAAGTGAGCAGTTGGACTGTGAGAGCCTGAGCTGCTGAGAGCTGCTGAGAGCTGATTGATTACCAGCTGATTACCAGCTGATTACCAGCTGCTCTGCTGATAGCCGCCACTGTGTCCTAATCAATGAGAGGGAGAGGGAGAGGAGAGCATCTCTCGGGTCGGCCCTGAAGCTCCGGACGCACAGAGCAGTCGGAGGTCACTGACTGGACGATGGTATTAAACACAGGACCACAAACTGCCCACATCCCGACCAGTGAACCGCAGCCATCCCCATCCCTCCAGGACACAAGGACACCGGGAAGATTTTGAACTGGAGCTTTTATTATTATTATTTTTTTGGCCAGTTGCTCTCTCCCCCCTCTCTCTCTTATCCCCCCCCTCCCCACCCACCCACCCACCCACCCAGGACGTCCCGGGAATGTTTGGGGTGAGATCCCGTTGACCGGTGCCCGGGGTTCCCAGGGGTGGTCCCGGGGGGTCTGGTCCCGGGGGGTCTGGTCCCGGGGGGTCTGGTCCCGGGGGGTCTGGCCAGGATGCTGGGGGGGGACCTGCACCCTTTGGCCGCTGTCGGGAGCTGGTGGTGTGCGGTGCTGTGGGCGGTGGTGAGCGTCTCCCTGGTGCAGGTGGGAGATTCCCAGCAGCAAATCCCTCTCAACGTGTAAGTGCGGAATTCTCCCTCTTTCTGCTTCATGTCGTCGTCGTCGTTGTTGTTGTTGTTTCTCCCTCAGTTTCTGTGTCTTGTATTTCTGGAACTTGATGATAATTTGATGCGACGCCTGATCTTAATCACCTCTCTCCCTCCCCACCCCCTCCCCACCTCCCCCCTCCCCACCTCCCCCCTCCCCACCTCCCCCCTCCCCACCTCCCCCCTCCCCACCCCCTCCCCAAGTCGCCTCTAAGCGCTTCGACTGTAAATGATCAGTTTTTTTTTATATTGTGGAAGACGCTAAAATGCCTTTACCTTCAGGATGGATTGTGTGTGTATTTGTGTGTGTTGTCTGCGTTGTATTGTGTGTGTGTGTAGTTGTGTGTGTGTGTAGTTGTGTGTGTGTGTAGTTGTGTGTGTGTGTGTGTAGTTGTGTGTAGGTGTGTGTAGTTGTGTGTGTGTGTGTAGTTGTGTGTAGTTGTGTGTAGTTGTGTGTAGTTGTGTGTGTGTAGTTGTGTGTGTGTGTGTGAGTTGTGTGTGTGTGTGTGAGTTGTGTGTGTGTGTGAGTTGTGTGTGTGTAGTTGTGTGTGTGTGTGTGTGAGTTGTGTGTGTGTGTGTGTGTGTGTGTGTGTGTGTGAGTTGTGTGTGTGTGTGTGTGTGTGTGTGTGTAGTTGTGTGTGTGTGTGTGTGTGTAGTTGTGTGTGTGTGTGTGTGTGTGTGTTGTGCGTCCAGAGAGAGAAAAGGAAGTACAGGAATTTGTTAATGAATTGGTGTTAGTTTTCAAACACTGCAGAATCTCTCCGCATCACTGACAGTCCAAGTGTTTGTTACTGCAGAACAGCCCCCAAAACCTCCCGATTGGGGGGTTTCTCGCGGAGAAATTCCGACAAGTTTTGACAGAGAGAGAGAGAGAGTAAACAGTGAGATCTCAAACACACACTCGGTTTATCGTCAATAATTTTTTTTTAAAAACCCAACTTATCATCATCTTTGTCAAACAATAAAAGAAGTGACTGGTGGATGGAAGAGACCGGATGGCTCCCTGTGACTGTCAGCTCCAGGCGAGGGATTCATTCCCATAGTATTATTACTGTTATTATTGTTACTGAATACTCTAAAATACCTTTCATGTTTTTAAAACGTTTTTTTTTTAGGGTCAAACTGTGGGCTTCAGCCTTTGGCGGAGAAATCAAATCCATTTCGGCCAAATATTCGGGTTCGCAGTTCCTGCAGAAGGTAATGGTAAAGTTTGATATCACTGTGTGGGCGGATGGTGGTCAGTGGCTGTGGGGCTGTGCGGAGCTCACAGTGATGGGCAGTTCATCGGTTTGTCTCAGTGCTGTGACCGACATCTACTTAATGGACTGTCTGTGGGCAGTGAGTGTCTGTCTGTGTGTGTGTCTCTGTGTGTGTGTCGTGTCTGTGTGTGTGTCTCTGTGTGTGTGTGTCTCTGTGTGTGTGTGTCTCTGTGTGTGTGTGTCTCTGTGTGTCTCTGTGTGTCTCTGTGTGTCTCTGTGTGTCTCAGTGTGTGTGTGTGTCTCTGTGTGTGTGTGTGTCTCTGTGTGTGTGTGTGTGTGTGTGGGGGGGGGTTGCTGTCCCCCCCCCCCGGATTGTAATGGTGACTTGGTGTGGGTTGAATTGACTGTCAGAGGCTTTGGGGAGAGGGGCTTTGGTTCCTGACTTGGCTCCATGTGAACTCTCCGTTGGATATTTTTAAGCCAAGAATTGTGACTGTGGAGCAGTAACGCCTGGGGCTGGTCCCTGGCTGATTGTCAGCCCCCCCCCCCCCCCCCCCACCCCCCCCCCCACCCCCCCCCCACACCCCCCACCCCCCCTACCCCCCCCCCCCCCCACCCCGGGGGGTGTTAGAGGAATGAGCGAGTGCTCTGTGTGTTCAGGTACAGTACCTGATGACCGGAGCCCCAGACGACCCTCTGCACAGACCGTTACATTACTATTGTAATGAAGAATCTGATTTAAAACCTCTGTCAAAAGTGCAACTTCTCATATATATATATATATATACACAATCAAATAAATAATTCTTATATTACTGACAAGTAACAAAGGAGTCGTGCTTTTAAGTAGCTGCTTTATTATAATAATAATTATAATAATATTATAATAATCCTTGCATTTGATTAGAGCGCCTTATCGTGTCGTCGAGACGTCTCAAAACGCTTCACAGTACATACATACCGTCGGGTGTAGTGACTGTGTATTTTGCGGGTGAAAAAGCTGAAAGAAAAGTTTAAAAGCTTTTGAGCTGCGGATTGTTTTAATATATATATATATATATGTAAGTGTCTGAGCTCGCGGTGTGGTCCCTGACATGACGATGATGATGATGATGATGATGATGGTGTGTGATTTTGATGCAGAGTTTTGATAAATAAATGACTTGTTGTGCGCGGCGCCGGAGATGCGGTTTTGCGGGAAGTCTTTGGCCCCAAAACCCCGGGACACAGTGACTGGGAACCGTGGCTCAGGTCGGGGGGAGAGTGAGGTTTCTGCGGCCGCTCTTTAAACAGAGCCCTGAAGATGCTCAGTGAGGGGGAGGGGGAGGGGGGGGTATTATTATTATTATTATTGTTATTATTATTATTTACGCACTGTGTCCTGCGAAGTGGGTTGAGATGTCTCAACGATGTGATACAAAGATTATTATTATTATTATTATGTACCGTTTAATCAGCAAATAAAGCCCCGCGTTGCTAAGGCATTCAAGTACTTAACTAACACCTCGTCCTTAACTCTCCAAAGAGTGTACGGTTTTCCTTCCGAAGTTGTTGTGTTTATTCTCTCTTTGCGGATCACTGAAACCTCAATCCCTTCCCCTAATGTCAGTCCTTCACCGTTTGTTCCCTTTTAGGCTTCAAAAACCATTTAAAACCACCGAGAAACACCAGCGCCAGAAGGACCTCTGATACTGGGACTCCACTGTGATTTTTTTAATTAAAAAAAACACCCAAAAAAGGGGTAATTTGAGAGGAGAATAGAACCAGTAATCGAGGCTCAGTTTTAAGTAACTAATCCATTCTTTATACCTGTGACCCGATGGAAGAAAAACCGTACAATATTTGGAGAGGTAATGACAAGGTGTTGGTTAGCACGAACATGTTTTGGCAATGCAGTCTTTATTTGCTGATTAGACGGTACATAATAATAATAATAATAATAATAATGATAATAATGATGATGATGATGATAATGATAATCTTTGTATCACATCGTTGAGACATCTCAACCCTCGTCTCAGGACACAGTGTAAAGTGGATGGACTGTGTGTGCACATTGTGGGCAATATTCAATAATTTAGTTTTTTTTCCCCCTGAATCTGTCCTTAGGTAACAGGATCTGCACCAGTTCAGGACTGCGCGACACAACTGAATTATCTAATGGGTCCGGATGCAAAATATCGCATTAATTCCCCCCCATTGCCCCCCCCCCCCCCCCCCCATTCCTGGTTTAATTTATAAACGTGGCACTAACTGTGGTACAAATATAGTTCCTTCAACAAAATGGGCACTGCCTTATATAAACTGCAGCTCTACCCACCATCATCTTAGCTTATCATCTTACTGTGGGACAGACACAGGGAATATGACCCTGTGGGTTTGCTTATTTGTTTTATTTATATATATATATATATATGTGTGTGTGTGTATATATATGTGTATATTTATGTGTGTGTGTATATATATATATATTACAAACCGTGCTTTGTCCAGTAGCAGCAGATTTACAGGATTTCTACAGCTGTCACCCAGATTTCACAGCTTGAAAGAGACTGTCAGCTTTACTAGTGAAGGCCTGTGCTTAAATACTTGGCAAAATCATCCCAGATAAACACTGGATGGTTTTCAGTATTTAAATCTAAATGAACCTGTCTGTGTGGGACCCATCGCCAGCTAACAGTTCCAGCAGCCAAACCTGGGCAATGGAGTCAGGTATTACACTTGATTCCCCTCAATCCCAGCCCCTTATGGTGAGGTGGCTTTCAAAATTAATTCTGCTTTTCCTTTGCAGTGAATGATATATTAAAGGAAAGGTAATTGAGGTTGGAAGCAGTTCACAGCTTGACCATGAGATTTTTGGCCATCGAATGGCTTATTGTTAAATCAAAAACATTGTTTGTTTTTAATCCTTTTTATTAGCTTTGGCTGTATTCTCTCTCTCTCTCTCTCTCCCCCCCCACCCCAATGTTTATCTACCACATGAGTTTGTGCTCACAGCCCGTGTAAAATCCTGGCAAAAATGAGAAATATGAATTTCACCCACATAATATACAGTCAAATCACTTTACAATATATTCTGTGAAACACTTTGAGACGTCAGGAAGACCTGATAAGGGACGATATCAAATGCAAGGATTATTATTATTTATTATTAATTAAGCTCTACATGGGAGTTAGTGAAAATAGTAACTGTGAAATGGCATAATATATATATACAGGTTTACATTGTTAACTGAATATTTAAACAGTGGGACAAGTGATTCAATGAACAATCTTACCGATAGGTTTGTGCATAACCTATTATTGTCTTGACATATTTAGTATTAAAATTGTATTGAGATTATTATAATACTTCAGCATATTATAGGCACTCAGCCTGGCTCAGTTGGTAGCATTCTCGCCTCCGAGTCAGATAGTTATTGGTTCAAGCACCACATTGGGACTTGGAACTCAAACTGACATTCCAGTGCAGCGATGGGGGAAATGTTTCATTGTCAGAGATGTCGTCCTTCCACTTGGTTTGAAGCAGCTCTGAGGGTGTGATTCTTCGGTGTGGGCAAAGCTCTCGATATTGCACCTTATTGCCCACTGGTCAGTAGATCTTACAATGAGTTTATATTGGGGAAACTGCTGTGAACGTTAGTAAGTTTACCAAAGATCAAGTCAATACATTCCAGAACTCATCATTTACCCACTCCCCCAATACACCCTCTGGGCTCCTCCCCCAAACCTTGGCTCTTGCCAACATGCGCCCAATACTCTCTGGAATTAGGTAAACACGATGCCTCCCTCCAGAGAGAGAGAGCATTCCATTCCAATGATCTATCCCTGGGGTTTCCACTTGTAGATGGGATGATGTCCCAATTCTCAGGTAGGTTTGGAGTCTCATAAGTAACGGTGATGGGTTTCCGTGTGTGTCAGACACCCGGCTGACACTCCCCCCCTCCCCCCCCAGCACCCAAAATATATATATTTTTAAAAATCGCCCGCATTCTTCCTGAATACAAAATGAAGTCAGTGTCAATTACAAACATTGAGTCGTCAATAAGAGTAACAGATTTTCATGTTAATTCTCAGGTAATGTGTGGAACTAATCGGTGTTTGTTGTGGGTGTTCCATGTGAATGCCTTGATTGTTTCACTACTTTACAACGTCCTTTTCTTCTTCTCCACGAGTGCGCGAGTTGTTAGTAGAAATAAGAGGGGATTTGAATTGAACATGTCGCTTTTGCAGAGCGTTTACTTTTGGGTCATTTAACTATTCAGCTGCACGTGACATCTTCCAGCTGCCGTACAAGAGGGAGTAAACAAGCGATATTGTACAGTCCTGTAGCTCAGTGGCACTCGCCTTGCAAGCGAGAGGACCCGGGTTCGATTCCCGGGGCAGGGCGAAACAATGGGCAAGTTTCCTTACTCCACGCACCTGGTTACCTAATAGCAAGTAGGAACCCAGTTGTTAGTCGATTAGCGGATTGCTGTTCCGGAGGTAATAATCACTCAGGAAAAAAAAATTTGGTGACTCAACCCACGGATGTTTGTGGGGACGCTGTTGTGCGCAATTGGCTGCCGCGTTCCGCCCACAAAATATACAGTCAATTCACTTTACACTATATTCTGTAAAGTGCTTTTAAACTTCTCGAAGATGTGATAAGATGTTATATCAGTTATTATTATATGTATGTCTATCAAAGCAGGTGAAGAATAAAAAAAGCGCATATGCCAGCTAGATTTATCAGATAATTGCAAACAGACGTTACATTTGTTGTGAACACTGCCGATTCAATTATCTTTGTACTGACAAATTGTAGCTTTACTCTCGCGTGAAATTCTAATTTTGTCAAAATGGCTACAGATTGCACAGCCCAAGACTGTGCCCGGATCGGGTTCAACCTGCTCTTTGGTCGCGCCTAATTCGCTAGGAATTAATGATAATAATAATAATCTAAAATGGACGATAACGAGAAGGGGATTCGGCAACAAAATCCTGCAGTGATGTGAC